CAAACATAAAAGATGCCTTTATAGCGTTGTGGCCAGGTTTGCCCTATAAAAAGGCATGAAACAGATGGTTGTTTAAGATATCCCCTTTACGAATTGCCATTTACATTATTGTAAAAAAATGTGGGAAATATATATTTTAGTAAATAAAGTGGACTTCATAATTGTTATAGAAATAGTTCATACAAAAACTAAAGAAATTTTAGTAATATATGAAATTGAGCTTAAATGTTATTCCGAAAAAAGGGAGAACACGTGGTAATGCAGTTAAAGTTTCACCTGATTTTATCCTTTATCCGATTAATGCCAAACAGAAAATTCTTAAGACGCATAGATATATATAAATAATTTTTAAAAATATTGAGAAATTTAGATGGTTAGTAGGTAGTGAAATAACACACAAATTATCATCCGATTTCTTTTAACACATGTAAATACTCGTCAAACTATTTGTCACTTCACAAAATCAATAAACATTGATGAGACTGGTATATGTAAAAGTTACTTAAATGCCGATTTTCATAATTGTGCGTGATTAACTATGTCATGGTATAAAACGTCTCGGTTAAATGATATTGTAAACTAGCGTGAAATAAACAATCGACCACGTGTCAATCCGCTTTGCCAATCCACTTATTCAAAGGAAGTGCACAATACAAATTGTGCAATGTTATGTAACACAGAGGTAATAAAAGTTAATCCTTAACACCCTACTGTTTCAATTTAATTTTTTGATTGAAAAGTTGACTAAAGATATGTTTTGTACATGCGTATTTTTCTTGAAATATTATTCTCACATAGTTGAGTATATCTATTATAGATACAATTAACTTTGAAGTACTTATTGCTTTAAGTAGTCCCAAAATTACTGTTTTCCGGGTGATATAATTTGAAATAACGTCTATTAAAGCCTTTAAATATGGTAAATTTTAGTCATCGTTATTGCGTTTATTCCCTACGCAGTATGCGCATGCGCGAAATGCAACATTCGCTACTTTAGAAAAATCTAATTGTAAAAGGGTCTAGAGTATCACGCTAACATTATAACAAGTAAAATGGTTTCCTGCGGTGAACATTTTAATGATATAAAGATATTTCATTTAACTATTTTCAACATTATTTGGGGTGGGGGATAAATAAACGTTTGTATCAGGAACATAGTTGACAATTTAATAAACGATCAATATAAAAGGTCTTTGGAAACTGGTGACCGTTGAAGATCGGAGAAGGTCGAACATAAAACAATTATTTCTTTTTAAGAAAATGATTTTAAATAGGCCTACCATTTTATGAATAATTCCGAGCAAAAAATAAATAAAGTAAACACACGAGTTTACGCAGAAAATATCTCTATTTATTATGTCAGATTCCACTACGAATATTTTAATTTTGTAGATTTTCAGTATAAACAATTTATTGTTTGTAAATTTTGAGATAGATATTAAAGAAACATTGATAATTCTTAAACACATCATTCAAGTTTTTCCACCTTAAACGGTAAAATAATTATAGAAAATTAGAAATATCACGTAATAGTTTTTTGTTAATTCGGACTAATTCTCTACAGGTAAATCCGTAACGTACCGGCAAACGGTATTTAGCTTGGTTTTCGAAAAGGTCAATTAACCAATCATGTACGGTTTACAGATCACATGCTCCTCCATGTACCGAAAACAGGTCATGTGCTCCTCCATGCCTCAAAAGTTAAACCAGACCGCAGGGAATAAAACAAAAGTCATAATATTCGGATGTAGAAATCGTAATAACTATAATTTTACCTTAGGAGAACAAATCTGAAAAATACCGACAGTTATCACTATCTAGGCTTAACTTTTCCAGCGACCGGATCTTTCCTTAAAGCCAGACAACGCATCAGCCAACAAGCTAATAAAGCAATGTATCTTTTATTTACAAAATTAAACAATGCCGACTTACCCCGGGAACTTGCTATGAAATTATTTGATAATACTATTGTTCCTATCTTAACATATGGATCTGAAATATTCGGTTATGAAAATCTTGATCTGTTAGAAAAAGTACACAACACCTTCCTAAGACGCTTAACTTATGCACGGAAAAGCACACCTAAGTATATGCTACATGGAGAACTGGGCCGATACCTAATTTATATAAACGTTTATACAAAAATGATATCCTTCTGGATACGTTTGCTTCTTGATAAAGAAAACAAACTATCTTCCTATCCTCTAAAGTCTATTACTACATGCTTAACCAAACAAACACTAATTTTAAATGGACTAATAAAATAAAAGAAATATTGACGCAAATTGGAAGACCTGATATTTGGCTAAATCAACAATTCAATATCAATAAAAACTTGCACATTACTGTCAAGCAAACTCTAATAGACCAATATAAGTAACATTTGGCAAGTCTACTACAAAATTCAAATAAAGGGAGAATTTATAATTCATTTAAACATGCGCTAGAATATGAGAGATATTTTAATATTCTTCAAAAAAAGATTACATTACACTATTCAAATTTAGAACTTGTAATAACCGCCTTCCAATAGACACAGCGCGATGGTCTCGTGATAACACAATAAATAACATTTGCAAGATCTGCAACTCTAGAGAAATAGGTTCTGAGCAACATTATTTATTAAGCTGTCAATTTTTTAATTCTGAAAGAAATCTGTACATCCCCAACTTAGTTGAAACTTCCTACTTTTTTAAATATATATTCTATCATGTAAAAATGAACATACTCTAATGAAGTTGTGTAAATTTGTACGCATAATAATGTTAAAATTTCAAGGTAAACTTTATTTACCTTCCTCTAAGCAGTGAAGAACTACTTTTGTAAAAATCACAATGACCGACTAGAAAATTCATTGTGAACACGGCGTTATTATGCGAATGGACGATTTTCAAGAGCTCTTACTTTTATTTTAGATTTACTACTTAGAATGCAGCGGCGAATGTTTTTCTCTACTGTTGTTTTTTTCCTAACATGTCATATTTGAGCAGTATTTTTTTCTCTATAATCAGTGATGGTAAACAATATAATTATATGCATGTGAGAATGGTTTATGTGTGCAGAGGAGCATCTGAGTTCCCCCACAATCGGATGAATACTTATATATACCTATTGTATAATTATTGTATTATTCATGTTATAGACCTGCTTTTTATACCGGACACTAATATCGCTACAAAATATTGTTAAACCTCATGTTGTATACTTTGATATACCTGAGTGTAATAAAGTTGTCTGTCTGTCTGTCAATTTAGCGCGTCTTGACGCTATGTTTGAATAACTCAAATGACGTCAAGTCAAAATATATGCACGACTGGGCAATACCATTTTTACGGAATCGCAAAAGCGGCACGGGTTTGTGATAAAAATGAAGAGTAAGTTAAAGTTCTGCGCATAGAATATTGACAGGTATTCTTTATAAGTTAATAGACCAGGTGATGTGATGCCTGAGCTATTGATCGATGATAGGATGAATTATAGCACCAATGATGATATTACAGCATGCTTGTCGAGTGCAAATTTCTTGAAATCAAGTTCGAAATAACGTCTCGTGCTACCTCATTATTGCGTAATTTGATACGAGGGATGTTGTAAGTTTTCATTATCCCTTATGTACAGACTCAATTAAACTAAGTCTGCAATTTCATGTAATTTCATTCTGACTTATGCTTCCGACGCATCATTTTTTTGTAAACCCATATCTTTAAGGTATGAAATTGTTTATATAAAGTAGAAATTTATTGCATTACTTTAGGTATGATGTAAAGATTTGATGAAATCGCTATGAATATTTATTTTTTCATATGATATATACGAAATATTATGTAAAATTTCGGGGCAACTGTCGTATATTTATTATGAAGTGAAAACCTGGCTTTCACTTTTAATTGTCACGAATTTTACCTTATTAGACTGACTATATATATATGATACTTTGTAAGTGTAAATTTTGAAGAAATCACGTGTGAAATAAGAAGACAAAAATATCAAAATATCAACAAGTTGAATTGTTCATGTGTTGTGTTTTAACTGCAGTTTCAACCATTATAATGCTTACCTTTCATTTTTAAAGCTCTTGCTTGCCACGTGAACTTAAGGCAGTATACCCCTATTGCATTACCTCCGCATTGCAAAGTATTCAAATAGGTTAGAATTACTGCCAACTGCATTGGAACTGAGGGGCGTGGTGTCTGAATATATTTTCGTCCAAATTTGTGCTAAATGAAATGTCAAATTATGAGTAATAACCACCCTAAGATTTTTGTTTAGCGAAACAGAAAAAAAACTTCCTTAACCTTAAACCCCATGAGCATATTGCGAAAAATGGCCGTTTTCATTGAAAAGCCTCCTGTAACAAGTTCAAACTGCTATGAAAAATGCTATTATACTGATGAAACTGTTGACTGGACCATAGCCTCTGTATTCGCATGCTCAATCTTAAATTTCATGTTACCATGGCAACGGGGGAAGTCTCAAAATTGCCAAAATCACTACTTTGCATTGTTTTTTCCATCAAAACTGATTTCAAAGTGCTGCAACTTCTCAGTGAATTGAGATGGAGTAAAAGGCTTTTCAGTGTAGGTTACTAGTTACCCTAAGATCGACCCGAGGCTATTTTAAGTATGTCATATGTCCACAATTTTCTTGGCGATGAAGGGGACTACCGCCCCCTTCAAATACCCCAAAAGAAGGGGGAACATTCCCCTTCTGGTAACCCCCTGATGTAACATTTGGATGGGGGCGGCGCTGCAAAAGTGATCACTTTTTTAAACAATATTTCTCAAACGAAAAACAGTATTTGCGGCCTAAATAGGGCATTTGTTCACTGTTTGAGGCCTCAAAAAAGGGGGAGGGGGGGAGAAAAAGCCGTCAAAACAGGTCTATATCAGGGATATCTATATATCTATATTAAGTAAATAATGGCATGCAATGGGTCAATTTAATACGAATGTTGCTAAGTTGAAGATTATATAGGGCATTGATCTTTTTTGTGATTACAGCCACAAACGAAACAGGTGTAGGTTTAGGAGCTGTTATTGGATCCGTTATTGCTGTATTAGCTGTTGGAATTCTTATTGGTGCGATTTGTACCGTGTTTATTCTTACTAGAAAAAGAATTAAAACAGGTATTGTAATAACATCGATTGTTTGTCATTTATAGAACAATTGCTATTAGATATGATTTATAAGCACATTTTTAAATAGATTTATTGTTATCGATAACACATAAAACCGTTTTTGAACACTGCATTAATTTAGATCTTTTAAGAGAAGTGCGGTTTTATTTACGGACAAGTTTCCTTCCGTTTGGTTGTTTGTTGTTTTTCTTTGAAATAAGTCAGTAATGAAACAATTACATTTGGCAGTTGACAGAAGAAAATATGTGGTGATTTCTATAAATTATGTATCTTTACCAATTGATTTACTTTATAATGATTACTTTTGCAAAAATTATGTAGAACCATATACCACAAACAGCTGAAATTTGTTATTATGTAAAACAAATAATTGAAAACAAGATGTTATGTTATTCTATGAACTTTTTACCATTTTAAATGATTACAATTCTACTTTTATCAAACAGATCTTATAAAGTTTGTTCTCTTATGTATGTTATGAACGATCTTTTTTGCATGCGTATTTATTTTGAACGTTCATCAGTTTATTTAACTTAATACGCAGTAACAGCCTAGTATTTCAAATGCTTTATTATGCTATCTGATAACACAGGCTCGAAAACACAGCCGACAGTTTCTCATGAAACAGAATTAAATGAACCACCAACTGCTCTGTAAGTTACGAATGTTTTCATTGTATGTCTTGTTATAAAATTACATGCGTATTTCGTTTCTTTCCAACAACTTTGCCATCATACTATCAAAATTAAGATACATAACATGATTTTATATATCAAAAAATCGAAAATCACGATTTTATTATATGTCATAATTTTATGAAAAATCAGTTCAAAATAAAAATGAGCAAACTATGGAGAGGCCTTGTTGCTGCTTATCATCCATCAATCTCATTCGTTCTTTGACGACAACGCTTACATTGATAAATTTGACATTGAAATTTTACTTGTATTTTGAAAATCATTTCTACTAGGGACACCTACGAGCAACTTCAAAACAGAACAGATACTGAAATCAGGCGAACTTATGATTCTCTTGAAGGTATGTTTAATTTCAATTATTTATTTCATGTCATTATTTATTTAACATATATTTAATCTATAATCATTCGGTTTGGTATAATAATATTACAACTGAATATGTTTAATATAGATCGTGTAGCATTGTAAAACACATATATTCGATCATAACATTTTTAACTAAAGTATTTTGATATTTTCTTATATAAAGTCTGACATGTATTTGTTTATGATGTATACATAGTATAATTGCTATTAAAACATTAAAATGTTTTTCGTCACAATATTAACTAACAGTCGTTTCTTTTTCAAAATTCTGTTTCAGTCAGCTCCGGAGAACAACCAAACAGGTATGGAAATCATAGATATTTACACAAATATTTAGTTATTTCTCAGATAGCTTTAACATAAAATATCCATTAACATCAAGTTTGATATTATTGATCTTTTAATGCAATGATCTTCATAAACTTAATGCTTAGATATCTTCTTTCGGGGAATTGTCTTTAGAGCACAGATTGTTGACCAAAGACTTTAAACTGAATGTTCGACATAATCATGAGTTTAAGTGTTATTAGATCTACATTTTCAGTACTTATTGTTTGTAACTTTTTCTTTATGTTTTTAATTGTTCATTATTATATGTCCATTCATATGTCTATTTTCAGCGAATCACAGTATGAGAGCCTGAATCAGGAAGCAGAGAAATATCACACATATACAGAACTAAAACAAAGCCGATAAATCTAAAGAACCTACTTGAGAGATTCGCCTTGAACGTTGAACTTTATAGAAGGATTGTTTGTAATATTTGTAATTCTGTTATTTTAATAAAAGAAAATTAATGAAAGATATCGTTAAACAAATAGTCTCACTGTACATAAAGATATAAGATGAAATTATGTAATAGATGAAAAGGGCTATGTATTCTGTTATGTATACACCTGGAAATAAGTTAAGCACACCCGGCATGTTGCTTCAATTTTGACATGACTACAGCTGAAATCTTAAATGTTTTTGGGCAATGGTATGAACCACCTATAGTCAACCTGAAACAGCTGGAACAAGCTCTGCACAAAGAATGGCAACATTTACTTCAAAATCGCATTAGACGCCTTACTGGTATTATGAGAGGAAGGACTGAGACTATCATCCGGGCACGTGGCAGCTACACACGCTACTAAAAATTCGGCTACAAAATGTCATTTACCAAACATATCTACCAGTAATTATTTTGTAAACTCTTCATAAACTCTTACAATTGTTGTACAAAAAAACGACCACATTTGCTTAAGCTTCAATTATTTGGTTAACATACAACTCAACTCATAAGTTTACTGGTTTTTGATTACTTAATATTGATATCGCTACTTATCAAATCAATATTTCTTAGCTCAATTAAGTCGTGATCAGTCGTGAAGACAGTGATTTCAATCAAAAACAGTTTTAAATTTCCTGGGTTTGCTTAATTCATTTTAAGGTATATATATATAGAACATGTCTTTTGGAAAAAAACTGTTTTAAGGACTAGTTTTTTCGGGCATATATTTTGCTACTGAAATTATTCAACATTTTTTAATTGAATTTTTATACATTTTTTGCATCTTTGCTTCACACTTGTAAAGGTTAAATATGTGTTATATCAAAAAAAAAATATTGACAAATGTTTATTTCAGATAGATGATTACGAACCAAGCTTATATTATCCTTTGTTAATTTTGCTAAAGTGTGTGCGTTTGTTTAATTCTAGTGATATTTTGTTACTGTAACAATAAGTATCTTTCATGTTCTTTAAATAAGACACGAAACATTTGTATTCAATAATTACCTGTGTATATGTCAGAATGATTATATTGTTGTTCGTTCACCTGTTTATTCATCCGTATGAAACTTCTATAGAACTTGTTGGTAAGATATGAATGTACCTGTGCTTAAATTTTCATGTGGATAAAGACCGAAGACTCATAAACTATCATACTTGTAAAACCCTTAGAGTTAAGAGTTATACGTTCAATATTGTATTAGTATGTAGTGATTCTTTTTAATATTTGTATATATTAAGACGTGTTAGTTTTTGGAACAAGTGCTGCGGGTAACCGGTATTGTTCTTACTAAATTTACTTTGTACGCCATATATTGAGTTATAACTATTCCTAAAAATTCTACCTTCATAAGTCAGAAAGAATTCCAGCAACAAGGAAAATTTAATATTAAATTGCTTTGTTCGATTTCAATTATAGTGGATACATATGTAGTGAATCAGGATGAGAACATTGTGAATCCTAAAGGGATTCATAATCTACAAGTTTATTTTCAGGTTTCTGGTTCTTGGGAAATTTAGAATAAACCGTTTGTAATGTTTTTTTGCTCAAAGTTATTTTTTAAAGAATAAAGCAAAGTCATTTTTGTTCCTTAAACAGATTCATCAATTTTGATACAATTTAGTGAAACTTGCATGTGATAACGAGCTGCTCCATTCAAATAAACAGCCCACTTTTGTATGTTTTATACTATTATTTTTTGCTTCACCATGTATTTCATTAAGTAAATTGGTTCATAATCGAAGGTGTGTGATACAATAGATAATTGGTATCATACATGACAACAAACCATGAAAAATCACCATAATTTATTAGTTTGTTTTCGGGTTCCTGGCCCTTAAGAAATTCAGAAAAAAAACGTTTGAAATGTTTTTGCCCGAAGTTATTTTTTTAAGACAATATCAAAGTTATTTCTGTTCCTTTAACAGATTCCTAATTTTAATACAATTAAGTCAAACTTGCATGTGATAACGAACTGCTCCATTCAAATAAACAGCCACTTTTGTATGTTTTGTACTATTTGTTGTTGTATTATGCATTACTTTAAGTGAATTGGTTTATAAAGAAAGGTTAGTAAATAGATAATTGGTATCATACATGACAACAAACCATGAAAAATTATATATTTATATATGAGTGTTGTTGGTAAATGTGAGACACACGATCCAATATTACATAGCTATAAATACAGTGTAGCAGTTGATGAATTGATTTAGATTAAATATTATACATATCATATAAATGTTCATATCAAACCATTTAGATATCTTATCAACATTTTTTTATCTTGAAATATTTCATATTATTTTCTAAATGATACATTGCTACTGTTTTTATCAATATTTGAAATTATTATAAAATATGTATACTTGTAGACCAGTTAACGTTAGTAATAATACTTATTTATTAGTTTTTTAAAGTCTTTTTAGCATACATATTTTATATATAGATGCATAAAAGGTTCTTATGAAGAAAAAATCATTTTTGAAATTTAATAGACTAAGAAATTATGTTTTTTTTATTTATTTCAAAATATTATTTAATGTTTAACTGCTAAATCGAGAAGTGACCTGCCTAGAGACTGGCACGCTTGTACAGCTGGGCATTTGACTTGTCTAGAGCCAGATAATCTTGTACATAGGGCATTCTGACTTGCCTAGACTCGGGCAACATTGTTCATCCGGACAGTCTGAATTGTCAAGAGTCTATACATCCAAATAATGTCTGCCTTGCCTAGGGCCTAGCAAGCTTGTTCATTTTGACATTGTCGGACTCCTTAGAGTCAAGCAAGCTTGTATATCCGGGCAGTCTGACTTGCCTAGAGCCTGGCAAGCTTGTACATCCGGGCAATGTGACTTGCATAACGCCTGACAAACTTGTACATCCGGGCATTCTGACTTGCCTAGAGCCTGGCAAGCTTGTTCATCTGGACATTCGGACATGCCTTAAGCCATGAAAGCTTGTACAACCGGGCAGTCTTACATGCATAGTACCAGGCAAGCTTGTACATTCCGGCAGTCTGACTTGCCTAGAGCCAAGCAAGTTTGTACATCCGAACAGACTTACTTGATTTGAGCCAAGCAAGCTAGTGCATCCGGACATTCTGACTTGCCTAGAGCCATGAAAGCTTGTACATCCGTGCAGTCTGACTTGCATAGAGCCAAGCAAGCTGGTACATCCGGGCAGTCTGACATGTCTTGAGTCAGGCAATCTTGTACATTCGAGCACTCTGACTTGCTTAGAGCCAAGCAAGCTCGTACATCCGGATAGACTGACTTGCCAAGGGCCTGACAAGCTTGTACATCCGGCCAGTCTGAAATGCCTAGAGCCAGACAAGCTTGTGCATCCGGCCAATCTGACTTGCTTCACAACAGCAGGTGTCAAGTGCTGTGTGGCAGCTGTAAAAAGTTGCCCCGTACTTCACTTCAGTGTTGTTATATTTTTCTGGTCTTTCGGGATCATTGATGCCAGCACTATTAATTGTTGCGAATTGAGTACCGCTCAAACCAGTGCTAGGGGGCGGGAGGGATGTTGCACATATTCATTATCCCTCATGTACAGCTTCAATCAAACCGAGTCTGCAGTTCTCTTGTAATTTTGTTGTGATTAATGATTCCGAGGGATCAGATTTGTTTCCAGATTTGCATAGAGCCAAGCAAGCTTGTACATCCAGGCAGTCTAACTTGCCTAGAACCAAGCAAGCTTGTACTTCGAGACAGTCTGACATGCCTAGAGCCTGGCAATGCTGAACATCCTCGCATTCTGACTTGCTTAAAGCCAAGCAAGCATGTTCATCCGGCATTCTGGCTCGCCTAGATCCAAGCAAGCTTATACATCCGGACAGTTTGGCTTGCCTTGAGTCTGGCAAAATTAAACCATTTAAGATTAAATAAGCTGTCCAAAAATTTTAAGGCAAATTCAGTTAAAGTATATATAGAAGTTTAATTGTTCATTATGTGATTATATGATTTTATTTATATATATTAAGCAAAACTACTTAAATTCTAACAGGGAATCAACACGATAGTTCTACTTGTTTCTTCATTGAATATTTATGTGAACATAATTGCTTGCTCACAATTTGTATTTGTAACCCTTTTTTTAACCTTTTACTTGATTTTGTTAATTATGTCATTGTGTTATTCTTATTTACATGTAATATATGTTTTAACAGAGACTTTTATAACAGAAGGTTAAGAAGCTCTAAAAATAGGAAATTTTCAAATTTTGACCCACAATCCTTTGTTTGAATTTCACTTGGAGTTGATTAATTTCCGCCATCTTGTTTTACATAACAGAATCTGTAAACATTTAATCCAATACAAAGAATAATTTACATCTTCCTAATCTGTATTACGTTTTAATACCTTTTGGAAACTTCTTTTTTATTATCATAAGAATATTTATATAACATGTATACAAAATTATATAAGTCTCGGTAAAATCTCTGTCTCGGAAAATCTCGCAAACATGTGATCTAGCACGATTTTAAATCCTTGTCAATAAATTACATTATTTACGCTCAATCGTTCATTAGGATCTTGTTCTGAAAAGTATACTTTATAATTATTATTTAAATGTTTCTTTTTCTTATTTCAGTATCAAAGTTTGGAACAAATAACCTATTGCTTATTATCTTAATTATTTTGAAATCATCTATGATAACCATGATTAAAATATTAGTGTCAGACAGATGAATGAATGAAAATGTCTAACCTTTACATTCAAGAATATATTACTTTTATGTTTGTACACAAATTGTATTTTAGATTTTGTATTGATCTACATTTTATTCTTTTTTATTATTAAATTAGAAGGCCGTACAGAAAGCAAGAATACTCTTTACTATTTAAACTTTGTATGTTACCTTCTATAAATAAAGATTTTATTATTATATTATTTTGATATTTTGTTTAATGAATGACGTCATTGCTTCCTCTACATTATAATATAGCTCTGTGATTTTATATGTGATATTGTTACACATGTATATGATAATAAGTTGATGCTACAATAATAGTTTGTCAGTCCTTTCTATATAAAATCTAATTTCTTTGATTTTATTTTTTTCGTTGTCATTAATATATCTATTAGACCGGTGATATTAACACATAGTCATTAATGTCAGTTAAGCGAAAAATTGACATAAATGCTTAACAAAAACGCATCAATCTTCCGTGGTCTTATTTCAATGGGCTATAGATTAAAAACAAGGTGGGGATCAGTGGAAACGATAGAAGTTTCAAAATAGCCCGTTAAACACGTACTTCGAAGTACAGCACTATTGCTGATTCCCAGGTATAGATTGCTAGATTCCTGTTCATTGGCACAAAATTGTTATCAGAAGTTGCTGGTTACTATACTAGAGTCCATCGACGTATCTGCGTGCGTGGAATTAAGCTCCTTCATGGCCGCACATCTATCGATAAACCATGTAAACAGTTGCGGTTCTTTCTTATCTTTGGGACAGAACTATTGAAACTATACATGAACTTCATT